TTTTGTAATAAATATTATGTATAGTTTATCATTAAGTATATGCATGTGGATATATAATTAGATATAATATATATAATATATAATAATATGTATGCATACATATATAATATATATACAGTTATTATATATATAATATATATAATATATAATATATAAAATATAAAATATATGGGTATATATAAATGTATTATACGTCTATATACACTGCAAATAAATGTATGTATATACATTATAAATAATTATATATAATTATATATAATTATGTATAATTATATATAATTATTTATTGTGTATATTATATATATATTGATATACAAGGGCAAATAATGTATAAGATTGCTTACATATCATATATATTATATATATAATATGTAAAATTGCGTATATAATATACACATATATATATATACATTATATATATAAATATACGTATATATACATTCATATACAGATATATACATATATATATGCATATATATATATACATATATATATATATATATATATATGTATATATATGACAGCGATGTTTTTCTGCTATCACCCGCCTTTGCTGTATTATATATATTGTATATATTGATATAGATTAGTATATATTATATACATTTTCTTTAATATATATATAATATATATTATATATATAATATACATATTATATACATGCATGTGTATATAAAATATACATATATATACATTACATATGTATATATTGTATATATTGCATATATTATATATATAATATATATAATGTATATAATGTATATGTATATATTTATATATTAATATATATATATGTTTATGTTTATATATTCATATGATGTGTTTTAATGCATGCATTTATGTCGGCTCTCACTTTGAGGGTTTTCTTTAGAACAGTTGTGTTGCTGTAACAGTTGAGGTGTATGTACAGCAGAATTAAGTTGTTTGTATATTTATTGTAGGGTATTTAGACAGAAAAATAAATGTGAAAGATCATAAACAGCTATTTGCATGCATAGTATTTGCATGCATGCACACATAGACAGAGAGACAGAGAGAGAGAGACAAAAAACTGTCTCCTGTCTCCTTCTCTCTCTCTGTCTCTTCTTTAGAGTAAATTCAGAAACGACATTTAATTATATTTATCTCTTTCTTTTTATTTATCTTTATATTATTGCGGTGTATGTGCATACACCGCATGCATACATCACAATATCAAACAGAGACAATATACAGGAGACAGAGTTAAAGAAGTGTAAGTAGTTAAACAAATACTTCTCTATCTCTTACTTCATTATTAAAGAAGAGAGACAGAGAAGAGACAGACAAAGGAGACAATAAATAGAAAGGAGACAGTACAGACAAAGAACAGACAGTAAAAAAAGAGTAGAAATAATAGAAATAAACAAAGAAGAGACAGAGTAATGAGAAGAGACAAATAAATAAGAGACAGAGTAATGAGAAGAGACAGATAAGTAAAGAAGAGACAGAAGATATGAAGCTGTCTCCTTTTGCTGTTAAATTTATTTGCTGCGCTGCTCTCAGCGCGACGTACGGCGTTCAGATTAAATAAACAAACAAAATAAATAAAATAAATAAAATAAATTAATAATTAATAATTAATAATGATATTAAACGGGTTGTGGTAGGCTGATATAATTATATTGTTATGTTTTGTTTATATTTATATTTGAATAACAACAACTCTATAGACAAACAAATGCAAGAAAAAGGAGACAGTTAAAAAACAGAGACAATCACCAGCTGTCTGTACACCGCACACACCCTACACATTATTCGCGGTGTGTACATTATATATATAATATATATATATATATATATTATATATAAAACAAGTAATATATCAATAAGCTATATATAATGTATATTTGTATTTGTGTATAGGTTAATATTTGTCTATTTGTTTTAATATATTTACTCTTCTCTATTTGTCTCTATATACATACATACATACATATCTATATATCTATATATATATATATATTATATATATTATATATATATATATATATTAATACAAATTATTTGTGTATGGAGTTAACAATAAAAAGAAAAAGAAATGAAGAGGGGTCTGCACAAAGACAAACAAAACAAAATAAAAAGACAAAACAAATAATGCATCTCCGCAATACCGAACAGCAGCAGCACGAACTACTACTACTACTGCTGCTGCTGCTGCTGCTTCTGCTGCTGCTGCTGCTGCTGCTGCTGCTGCTGAAGGGGGTTCAGGCAGTAGTTATAGCGGGAGTGCACATAAGCTACGCCACTGCGATTGTAGGGCCATTGCTGCTGCTGCTGCTGCTGCTGCTGCTAGTGCTGCTGCTGCTGGTAGTGCTGCTGCTGCTGCTGCTGCTGCTGTTGGTGTTGGTGCTGCTGTCGCTGAACACATGCAGTGGCTTCAGCAGCAAAGTGCTGTCTCTACTATTTGCTTCTTCACAAGCTTCTTCAGAGGAGACAACTGCGACATTTGTCTCTTTATCAAGAGCTGCTTGAAGTTTTTCAGCAAATGCAGCAAAATCTTCTTTTGTTGTTTGTAATACCTAAAAATAAATACAAATAAAACAAACTGTTATAAATTAATTATTTATAATAATATATAGTAATATACAATAATATATATATTTATACGTACATTAACATGTATCTATACATATAAATAAATATACATACATATATGTAAATATAAGCATATCTATACATTTATAAATATGCACATATATATATATAGAGAGAGAGACGTACAGATAAACAAACAAACATAAATACACACATAAATACAAACATATCTATAAACATATCCATATGTTTGACTATACATATATATATATATATAGACATATATAATCATAAAGGCATGTATATACAGACATATAAGCATATGTATAAACATATATATATAGGCATATATATATATACAGACATATAAACATATCTATAAAATATATATACAACATATGAACATAAACCTATACATATATATACAAGCATAAACATATATATATATATATATGAGCATAAACATGTACATATAAAGATAAACATATATATAAAATAAATAGAATAAATAAAATAATATACTTGTTGTCTGAAGAGTTGTCGGTGTTGTTGAGTTTGTCTGGCGAGGAGCTGCCAGAGGCTTTTTGAGCCGAGTTGATCAGGGGGTAGAGGTGCGTCTATATCTCTTAAAACAGTAAGAATAGCTTTATTAATATCTTGTTGCGTGAGATGTTTGCTGAAGTTATTTAAGAATTGAGGTGTATTATTGAACGCCTTTAGTGTCTGCAATAGCTGCGGATCTCTATAAGAAGTAAAGACAAACAAACCGCTAAAATCAAACATAAACGAAGCACCGTAGGCACCGCCGACTTCCCTAATACTCCGCCAAAGGTAATGCACTGACACAGATCGCGCTGCTACAAATTCGCAGCCCGATATGACTGACCCTACACCGCATGCACGGCCTCCTCGGCTTACGTAATTCACCTGCAAACATATACAAATATGTTTCAATATATATATATATATATATATATTTATATATACATATATATATTTAGATATATATAGATATATATATATATATGTTTGTGGATTTATAATTATGTATGTGCGCATTTATTTATTTATTTATTTATTTATTTAATTTATTGCTTACATAATTCAGCTATAAATATATACATGCATACAATAAATAAATATATATTTAACTATATATATTTATATATATCTATATATACATTTATACTTATTTATTTGTTTATTAGCAGCGGTGCATCAATACAAGCAGCATCATTATCATCATCATCATCATCAGCAGCAGCAGCAGCAGCAGCATTGTCATCATCAGCAGCAGCAGCATTGTCATCATCAGCAGCAGCAGCATTATCATCATCATCAGCAGCACTATCATCATCAGCAGCACTATCATCATCAGCAGCATCATTATCAGCATTATCAGCAGCAGCAGCAGCAGCATTATCAGCAGCAGCAGGAGGACTACGTGATTTACTTTGGTAGGTATAAGGAGTGCTTCGCGAACGGGCCTATGAAGTAAGTTGTTTTGTTTAATTTGCTGCACCCAGAGGGGCTCTCTATCAATGCCTCTCTGTCTAAAAGGTGTAGAGAAGAAACGCTCATTACTGCTTGCTGCTGCTGCTGCTGCTGCTGCTGCTTGCTGCTTCACCGGGAAACCCTCAATAAAGCTGCTAAGCGCATCTTTACCATCTGCTGCTGCTGTTGCTGCGGCCAGTGTTTCTGCATCCCCTGTTAAATTTATCAACAAGTTCTCTCTACGCAACAACTTATCTTTTAATTTATAAAGTCTGTCTTCAACGGCTTCCCAGTTCGTCTCAGCCTATCAAACAAAACCGCAAAAATTTTATATAATTACAACAAATTCATGCTATAACACAAACTCTAGTTAAAAAAATAAAGATAATATAATATTGATATATATATATATATATATATGCTTGTTATATATTTTATTATATAAAACATAATAAAATATATAACAAGTATATATATATATATATAGACACAAATATACTATATGAAAATATATCGACAGACATATAATACACACATACATAATATACATAAAAATATATAAAAAACAAATAAATCTATCAAAATATACATGAGCATACAATCGATATACATTCATTCATATATACCTCTCTATACAGCCATAATAAATAATATATATACACATATACATATTTATATATATATAATTATATATATATTTACCTGTTGAAGAAGTTGTTTTGCTGCATCTCTGAAGGCTACACCCATCCGCAATTCATTGGCCAAACCCGTAGCTGTTAACGACGCTAAAATTCGTCTTGCTGCTGCTCTATGTCCTGAAGACATAACTGCTGCTTCTGCTGCAGCAACAGCTTCACGCAGTATTTCTTTTGCTCGGGAAGATACAGATAAACGGCTGTCTTGAAGTACAGTAGAAAATAAACAAAATAAATCGGCTACGCGATCCTTCATTGCCTGCATTCATATCGTACAAATACCTAAACCCTAAACCCTAAACCCTAAACCCTAGACCCTTATCAGCAACTCCTGAATATTGCCCACCCCTACGCAGCCAGTCCCGTATGTTAAACCCTAAATCCTAAAGCCTAAACCCTAAACCCTAATCTGAACTTTCTGGATGGCATGAAGATACAAACCCCTAATCCCCAAACCCTAAACCCTAAACCCTAAACCCTAATCCGAACGTACCTTTCCAGAAAGCACAAGGAATCCTAGAGAAGACAGAGGGTCTGGAGCAGTCCCCGGCTCTGCACTTATCGAGCGTATGTCTGTTGCTGCAGTGATGCCCCCCGTAGCCTTTCCTATGTGATGCTGCAGCTGTTCAGGTGTAAGTGTATGAGTACCTGTTTCTAATATAAGCCGACTAAAGAGACGAAGAAGAGGAAGATCTTCTAACTCTAAATCGGCTAAAGATAAATATATTTCTGCATAAAGAATATTTGATGTTGGGAGCTCATGAGAGATAAGAGGTACATCATTAAGAGCTGAGACTTCATAGGGGACTTCATTATTCGCATCAGCAACATCTTCAAGTTTAAGAACTGGTAAGGTTTTGAGTGCCTCTTCGCTATCTTCTGTTAATTGTCTTTGTTTTAAAGCTATCTGGTCTGCTAATACAGACTCAACTACCTCTGGAGTTAGCTGTTTTTGTATTTGGCTAAGATTATCCTTTTCTTGTTTTGCTTCTCTTGCTGTCATCTCCGGATCTGCTCTTAATCGAACAGTAACCCGATGAGTATTATTAAGAAGAAAACGTCTAATAAGAGATTGAAATAATGAATATCCCCCTTCTTCATCTTCTTTCTTTAGTTTTTCTCTTACTGCTTTCAAGCTTGCATCAAAAGATAAACATGCAACTGGATCTCTATCATAGTTTGACTCTGTAGCCATATCTAATATTATACTAAGACCTTTAGGAAATGTTCCTGTATTCAACTCTCTTAAAGTAAATTGCATTGTATTTAATGCAGCTTCAATTGCATCTTTAGAAAAACCCTCTTCTGATAAACTCGACAGACACCTGAATATTACTTTTTCAACTTTCTCCACCATATCTTCTTCCTGGCTACTCCTAAAACAAACAAACAAATAAATAAATAAGCATAAAATAAATAAATAAATAAATAAATAAATAAATATAATGCAGAAGTAATGAAAAACTAAAATTAAACAAACAAATCAAATACACTTCCGGGTATGCCAGCAGAAAGACTGCTAATAAAAATAATAAATAAATAAAATAAATATAAAATAGGTAGAAGACAGACAAAACAAATTAAACATAACACTCAAATAATCTGTTTGTTTTATTTCTTTCTGCGTCTCGCATGTGTTTGTAGATACAACAAACAAATATCATTTATTTATTTATTTATTTATTTAAATTTATTTATTTATTTATTTATTTATTTACCTTTGAGTCCTACAGAGAAGGTAGCGTGTCTGAGATCAAGCCCTAGCCCACCACCTATAACACTTTTTCCTAAGCCTGACTCAGAGAGGGCTTTATATAGGGGGCTTGACGATGTTCCCAGCAGCAAATAAGAGAGCAGCTGCAGCGCCATTCTATCTGCTGCAGATAACTCAGGGGGTGCTGCTGCACCCTCGGGGACAGCGTCTAATACCCAGTTTACTGATATAAAATCTTCAAGCTTCTCAGGACTCGCAGGGTAAGGCTCCTCCACATATCGAGGCTCTGAACAAACAACCAAGCATAAACATATCAAACATATAAATATATATATATATATATGTATGTATGTATGCTCTGTGTTGATGCTGCTGCTGCATCTCCTGCAGCTGCAGCAACACGCTTCTGTTGCAGCTGCAGTAACTGCATGCAACAGAACTATGCACAGGTGCGCTGAAGAAGCGCCCTAAACCCTAAACCCTAAACCCTAAACCCTAAACCCTAATTGAAGCCGTGAACGCCAAAAGACGAATAAAATAAACGTGTGGATTGGAGCCACGGCATGAAGGGGGATTGATAGAAAGAAGAAAATAAATTAAATAAATAAATAAATTAATTAATTAATTAAATGACAAACCTGTGAGTTGTTTTTGCGTGCCTATGGTGGTATCTATTCCTTGTCTATCCGGCAGCTCTTTCAAGTATTCATCAACGAAGTTGAGACGTTTCTGTACATTATCTGCCCCCCAGAAGTAGATCCTAGCATTTGCAGGGTAATAGCGTTCATTATAAAACTGCTTGAACTGTTCATAACTTAGGCTTGGGATCATCTTTGGGTCTCCACCTGAATCTAGATTATAATGAGGGAGATTAGGAAAGAGAGAGCGCTGCTTTAAGCGAGAATGCAAAGAGTCTGGCGATGAATAAACCCCCTTCATCTCATTAAGGACAACACCTTGAATTTTAAAGTCACAATCAAATGGGTTTTCAAGACAACGTGCAGTTTGCTTAGCATATTCTTCTATCTGAGCTTCTGCTTCTTCAGGATCGCTGCCAGCTGTAGAGACAGCAGGCATATCTTTTGGGGTTAATTCATATCTCCAGCCTTCTTGTCTCAGTGTTAAATGATCTTCAAGGGCCTTAGGCTGAAATACTGCATCCATATAGACGCTTGCTAGGTTATAGAAATCCTTATCATTCACAGAAGCCACAGGATAACAAGTGCGGTCAGGGTAGGTGAGGGCATTCATATAGGTGTATAGACTGCTCTTCATAAGAGCAACAAAAGGCTCCTTTAAAGGATATTTAGCTGAGCCCATCAATACTGAATGCTCTAAAATGTGAGGAGCTCCATTACAACTTGTTACCGGTGTACGGATCGCAACCATGAAGGCTTTTTCTGTTTCTGTCTTGGGGCATGTTAAGCTAACGATATTAGCGCCAGACTTCTTATGCTTATAATCCACCACATGCAAGTCATACTCTGCAACATACTGAGTTTTCACCAGATCAAATGCTGGATGTTCCGTTGGGGTAAATGCTGCCTGCTTCTCGCTGCAATTGCCTTGTTCTGCGGAGCTGCACGTGCCCTGTGACGAAGATATACTGGAATTCATTGTATCACTGCTCGCTTCTCCAGATGAAAAGAGCCGCGAGCAGACAGAGCCTAACTGCCCCACCCGAGGCCCAACGAAGGCCGAGAAGGTATTCGACTGAAGAGCCCGATAAGCAGCTTGATACGAACCCCGAGTAAGCGGTAGTAGCGACGCAAGCATTGCAATCACCATAAAGGCAAGAAACAAGTAAACCCTCCTTCCTAGGGAAGAACGAAAAGAAGTGAAAATGCGGCGAAAACCCTTCAAAGAAGTAAAAGAAGAAGAAGGCAGACGCCGGCTTCTGCCAGGGGGGGGAGTAAGCCAATAATTCAATTTGATGATGTTTAAGGGGAAACCTTCAGAATGCGAAACCCTGCCTTCCTTATGCATGATGCAGTAACAGAATTCAAATCAGCCGACTACGGCATGCGAAGTCGTCGACTGAACTGCCGACAAAGAATAAAAGAAGTGACGATGGCTGGAAAGCCGTTGTGTGGTACCGACTGGCATGGAGCTGCAGATACACCCGAAGGTAACGGCAACAAAACCCCCTCTAAAACCCTATTTTTCCCTCTTCCAGATTACTGATGACACCGTTTTAACCTGATGAATCTGCTGAGCAAATCTACGGAGATTTTCAAGAAATATGCAGCAGCCGGGCAGGTCAGACGGCCTATGGCAAGGCTACAACGAGGTGAATGTAGGCATTCAGCAGTGGGTAAGAAGACACTAACGACAAGAATACTTTCTAAATAATGCGAGAAACAAAGTTTTCTTCATGAAAAACCTAAAAAACCTCTCATTGCAGGCGGTGGGGCGCAGGCGGCAGAGCCGTCATCCTGCCAACGTGAACGCTTAGCAGCATTCAAGTTTGCTGTAAAGGCAAGAAATCGGTAACATTTGTTTGTTTAAATTAAATATTTAAATTTAGATTATAATTTATAATATTGTCTATTCACAGACTCCTAGTGGGAGTACAGATATTCGCCGTTTCTCTGCAAAACTCTCCCTACCATAGACAACAGATTTCTGTGCAAGTTCCGCGCGGTGTCTGCGCAGCTTTGAAGAAATTTTGAAACATATGGCAGTTACACACTTTTAAATAAGCTTTTTATCAGAGATATTTTGCAAGACAGTACTGTAAGCACCAACCTTATACGGCTAATCTGCTCGCATCTTCCGTTCGTCTGATAATATGAATATGTTTAGTTTGTCTCAATTAGTGTATGTGCCTCTACTTGTATGCAAGGTGGCTGCAGAGAGCCCAGGGAAAGTTTATAAATTGAATAGAGTGTTAATACACTTATCAAAAGGAGGGTTGGATATGTCTATATATAGTGCTGTATTAGAGCTTGAGTAGAGGTGCAGGCTGGTTAAAGCTTTTATGTGCATTTCAACTTGCATGCAGGCTGTCTATTGAGTATATAGTAAGTGTTTAATAGCAACTGTTCACGGTATTAATGCATGCAATAGAGGGGATCTAGCTGTACTTATATATATATATAATATATATATATATATATATATGTGGGTTTTCCTTGAAGCATGTCTCTCAGCAAGTTGTGCTGCATGCAACTCATCGGATGCTTCTTCTTTTAAACATCTAAATAGACTTTTTCGCTGGTGTATACAGAACTCCTGGAGACTTAAAGGAGGCCTACAGCTCTCCAAATACTTTTATCAGGCATCTACAACTCAGGTGTATCTAACGAAGTTACGTATTAAAGGGAGAGAAGCTGCAGCAGCTATTAAAGACCCCCTCCTCAGCATGTGTAAATCTGTATATCTATTCAATTTTATGCATTGATTATCGATAAAGATGCTTCTTACACTAATAATATGCTTTACATACACACCCTAAAATGTCTATCTAAACTTCTTTCTTTAACTTGTTTCCTCGCATATTCAAAGTTTTCAGGTTGTCTCTTTGCTTATCGAGACAATCAATCCTTAGGCTAATTATACAGATAGACTCTGCATTTTGCTGATGTTAAGAACAACTAGTCCTTAGGTCCTCGCGCTTAGCAGTGATGCCTCTTATGAGTTGTATATATGCTGGTGTATATATATATATATATATATATATATATGTATAGCTTAGCAATGAAGCGTCTTATCAGT